TGGCTTTCCTCGCATTTTCACGTCATGCGATGAAAGTCTAAACGAAAGTGGGTTAGAACTGAATCACTGACTGAAAACCCTTTCCCCCAACTTCACGTTTTCAACAAAGCGATTGGGAACCAGAGAGTCGCGAGTGATTAGCTTTTGCGGTTCTTTGGTTCGATATTATTGTTCCTCCCGCGCATATGGCATAAAACGCGGTACACATTTGTATAGTTCAGTGCGAGCATTGAAAGCTTGATGGTAACATCACGAATAAGCAGTACTGTACCGCACATTGGATGAGAATGTGCTAAAAATCCATTGATTCAACCACATTTAATGGCACCCAATAATAAGAGAACTGACGCGTCGTGCTGGATCGAACGAGCGTTTCGGTTCAGAATCCATCTTCCGATTTAACACGCTTAAATAACCGAACAGACTTGCTTGTAAAATCGTAGCAATTTCGATTTTGAGCAGGAATTTAATAGCCTGTTGCAGAAATCAGTCAAGATCTACGATGAAATTAATCATCAGATTTCAAAATCACAGAAGAATTGTGTGAAACGATAACACTGTTAGAATGACTTCAAAGTCCTTACTTCCTGTAGCAGTCATCGATAATCATGACTGGCGAACGGAAAGACGTCAGCAGCAGTGACTTCTGAGAGATTTTATGCTTACATTTTCCATGAGTTCTTTACTTTGCAAGTACATGTTAGAAAAAGCACCTCAACGCGGAAAAGTTCACAGTACGTCACAAACATTCATGCACAAACAACGTCCTTCAGTTTTCAACATCTACAACCAAAACAGTAATGATTTCAGAGTTTCCCCGACAGGCGCCGCTGCCCTTATTCAAATTCACTCATCCAATACGGTACAGTATTAGGAAGCTATACAAATAGACACCTCAGATTTTGAAAAATAAACCATTTACTCAAACACTTTTTTCAATTACGTGCATGCACAACGTGAGTTTTAACAAAGAAAATTGAGAGAATCAAACTCCAGTCGAACCTCTCGAAGTCCAATTTCACGGGAACAGCAAAAATATCAAGTTATACGGAGATTTTGAATTGGGGAAACAATTTGAAAAATACAAATTGCAGGATAGTGTAAATGGTGATATTCTGGGCCATATATTGCTTCTTGAATGAGTTGACAGGGTGCTGAACTCGGAGGCAAGGCTTCATTTGTCAAAATAGTCTTTCACTTCCTTTCAAAACATATCAAGTTAGTTACTTTATTATTGTTTTTCTCCTCCCTGCGTCAAGAAAAAAATAGCCAAAAGGCCTTAGAAAAATTCAGTTAAGGACATTCGACAGGAGTTTTTCCTTTTGAGTTACTGAGGTTCTTAATGCACTGTTCACAAGAAAATTCCGACAGGGACTGAAAAAAAATCGACTTGAGGAGGTTGAACCAGCAGGAGTGGGTAAAACTCAGCACAATAATTGGCAATCCGCATGACGCACACATGGTTTTTTTTTATTTTAACAAATTTCGGAGAAAGGTACCCCCGATCCCGAGAACGACTCAGAGACACAGAAACAGCAGCTGGGTGAGAGGATGTGTTCCCGCGAACAGAACTCGGTGACCGACTGACTGAGCAGCGTAGGGAAAGTAAGGCGCGGCGCGGGCGGGCGCCGGGCGCGGACTGGCCGCCGAGGGCCCCAACAACTGGGTCATTATCGCACTGTTTGGCTTAACGGTACCTATGGGAGCGGGAAAAGGTCTTCTTTCCTGCCCTTTTTGGGACTCAGGACAGTCACGGTGTGGGATTGCAGGGTACAGTGAGCCAAGAGACACCAGAAAAGATTTGAAGTTCAACGGATGCAGCGCATAGGGTCCCCAACCCAAAACTTTAGGACAGTGATGCCCAACTCAGAACAGGCGGTGCCTGATGGGTGACATGGCAAAGCAAGTCCTTGCATGTCAGAAGAAAGAAGTAAAGGCTTTATTATTCAAAACAAGCTGGGGGTGCCCAGCCACACCTGGGTATCATATTTAGAATTTTACCAAGATTTTTAAAATAGCCCATATTTAGAGCAGATATACATAAAAAGGGTGCAGGGCCACATTTTTACAATGAGCATCATGTTAAATATCCCACTGTAGGCATGTTGTATTTTTAGGTAAATGCCAGGTATACCCAATATCCTTCATAAACAATACTTTACTGATAAATAATAAAGCAGAATAATTAGAAAAAAGCACAATTTCACTGTACTACCTCAGGTCCCAAATGTGGCGCAGTAGTTCACTGTTCTGTAAAATGTAAGTATCCATAACATCCCACACTATTTCTATGTGCCATGCTGGGGCCTGAACATGGCATAGCATTTCATTGTGCGATGTTATAACACAAACATTGCACTGTATGACATTTGGGCCCACATAGTGTCCTATAGTATTTCACTGCCATGCAACATTAGGGCCCTAACTTTGGACTGTGTTTCACTATGGATTGTTATTAGGGCCCCATGTCACAAAGCATTTCACTGTATAACATTAGGGCCCCAATACGAAATACCTTATCCTACACAAAAAATACCCTATCCCTCCAAAAATACCCTTCCCATCTAACCTATCCTATCTGGGGGTGTCCATCCACACCTGGGCATCATACAGTATTTAGAATTTTTACAGAGATTTTAAAAACATCTTCTGGTTAGAGCTGATATATGTCCAAAATGTGTTGCATGGCCACACCTGTGCATCATGATCAAAACTCTGGAAAGGTCTTTTAAATTTAAATGCTTACAGCTGGGAATGTGTTTATGGTCCACCTGTAATCTTGCACTTTGGTTCATAAGACTTTTTACTTCTGTTTTGGACCCTATATAATGTTGGTCCCAAGTTTTATGCTTATTTTGCTCCTTGCAGATGCACATGAGCATTTCAGTTTCCTTGCATGTTATGGACCCAAGATCACAGAGTTTTATGCAGTAGCTCTCAGCCACAACCAGGGGTTATTCACAAAAATACACAAAGATTTTGGAAATCACAATTACTGCATCTTATGCATAAGAGTACCCCTCCCCCTAAGAACTGGATTCAGTCATTCAAATACAAATGAACAGTCAGTGTGTAGCTTACTTTTTCATTGCAATGATGGTGTGCACATCATAGTCACTACAATATAATGTCTCCATTGTGATGATGTATTTTTTAAAGATCATGCTAACCTGCATAGATGCACCACAAAGTTCTCCAATTATTTTTTCGAATCTTCTAATAACGTTGAAATTGATAGTTACACAAACAAAAAACTGTTTTGAAAACTTTCTGTCAAATTGAAGTTTTTTTCATGTGTGTTGCTAAAATTCTAACGTAATCCTTTTTCCACTGCTTTGTGCTTCTAAGAAAGGAAGCATAGAAAATGTAAAGGCCAATTTAATGATCTGCAAAATTCATCATTTGAATGGAGATGTTTGTGATGTCGGTTTGCAGAACATTGTCATGATGAAAAAGTTTGGAAGAATTGCAACATAGTACTGTACTATTAAGCATGGAATATATACCCAACAAAAACAGTTGAACCTCAGCAATAACTCAAACCTCCTAAGCTAAATAACTCTCTAAGTTAAGTTTGTTTTTAAAGATCCTGTCTGAATTTGTTTGGAAACAATGCATTGAAAACTTCTCAACCTAGAAGGCTTTTCCTCTTGAACCTATTCAAGTTGAATTTTCTGAGGTCCTTTGGCTTCATTTTCTTGACACAGGAGGAGAAAACCAATAAGAAAAGTAACTTGTATTTTGAAATGAAAGACAAATTGAGCAAATGAAGCCATGCATTCAAGTCAACTTAAAACCTCTCCAAGTTTAAATTTTTGATGGTCCCTTGAAATTTGAGTTAAAGAGGTTTGACTATACAGTATATTGTACTGCATTATAATACTTTAAATTGCAAATGCTGGTGTTTTCCTCAGAAATAAAGAGAATTTAGAACCTGAAAAAAGTTCCGCATAGGGAGTTTAATTATTTGACTTGGAGAGTTCATCAAGTATCACTGGTACCATATGGAAAGAAAAATTGAAGGATTGTCTGGTATCATGCTTATTGAAGATACTGATCAAAACTAGCTCATATACAGTGGGTCCTCTTCATGAAAACTTACTCAACTTCCTTGGCAATCTATTTTTAGACTAGGGGATTAACCAGCTGAATCTTGTGAGAGGCAAGTGTTGGGATTTGGTCCTCATCTGCTTAAAACAACATTACCCACTCATTTTATAGTTGCAAGAAGAATGGTGAGTCTACTGTACTACAGTAATTGTCGTGAAAACTGGGTGAGATATTGAAACATAAAAAAGATGCCCTGTTGTTTCGGTTCAACATTCAAAGGAGGTGAAAAATGTTTGCATTGTGCAGATGCAGCTTGAAAGGTATCCCCAGTGCAAGAAAAATGGAAAATTCAATTTTCCATCAACACTCCAGGGTATCTTCATTGCTGATCTGAGAGCTTATTAAGAAGAGTGAAGAACAAAGAAATACTCCTTTACAGGATCAGGATTCATTGTGGGGGCATAATATTGATCTTATGAGCAACAAGGTAGAAGGTGTTATCAATCATTGGCACATTACCTTCAACAGCAATTATGCACAAGCTCTCCAGCATATGACAATACATCATCTCCAGCAGCAAGGGAAGTTACACACGTACCATGGGATATATGTAATGCATACTGCAGAAATGTCAGTTGTGGCATAAATGGAACTGATCAGGCAACGCTTTCTGAGAAGATGGATTTTTATTTCAAGGAACCTGGCAATGCCTGGGCAACCACTCTGCTAGCAGCAACAGGTGATTTTGCTGTAATACCTGTGTTTTTTCTAAGCCAATTGCTCTAGTTCCAGAATTGGTGCTTCCTGTTGCACACCTGAGGCAAGATTGTACTTCTTTTATCCTCCAACCTGTGCTGCTGCCATCTATACCAGCTGCGATGGCCATAACACCATATAGTACATTACAGCCACAATTCTCACTGGAGGCAGTTGGAAGCAATTGGAACACGTTGTCAATTCAAAATATAATCTGTCAGTGACATATAGACCCATAATACAACAAGGAATTATAATCACGGACAAATCAGGGAAGTTCACCAACTGAATTGAATCACACCAAGTGACTTTTCGGGTGAACGATGCATGCACAGCATGAAAGGGGTCTTCGTTTGTAGCACCAGATTTTACGTCACAACCTCAGGAACATGCACGAGGATTTTAACGGTCAAGCGGGCATCGCGAATACCGTAGTTCCACTGCATTGTGTAGAACTCCGATTTCTTGGAAGATTTGTTCGTAGACATTAAAGAAAAATGGGAACCCCATGTAACTGGACTGCAACCTCGAGTGGCCGCAGACAATTCACGAGAACTGACGCCATAATAGGAAACGCACTTCAAAAATCGCGAAATCAGTCGTTAATGAATCAATATACTGCTATCATTATCTTGAATATGTGCCAATTAATAGTTTAAACAATTGAAACATTACTGCAGTAAGAAAAAGGGTTACTTCCTAGTCGTCAAATATTTTTCAAATAGCTGAACAGGCGGATTTTCAGTAACGGCCCGGACGAGTCTTGGAACCGAAGTCGCCGTAGTATTCTGCTGATTTTGGTGCGGTTTCCCGATGCGTTCTTCCGAGTGTTGAGGGGCCACCAGCATAGGAGTAGTTGCTGAAAGCGTCGTCATTCCTTGGAGAAAACCGTTTGGATTTTACAAAAGGTTATGCTCACACGAAACAACAGTTTTTCTTCGAAGTTCCTTCATGACAATAATCAAAAAAATTTTTCTTACACGGCTTTATCTAGGACCTTCAATAAAAAATATCAGAGTTTCTTGGCTTGGGAAATTAACAGTTGAAAATTTCTTCGGTCTTATTAGGAGGAAAGACAACTTTTATTTTTAATAAGATAGAGTCAACTGACATCGTCTTTCCGAAATTTCAGATGAAGATAATAGGCTTCATTACTACCCATGACGAAAATATTTTTCTGAGGAAAATTTTCCGCAGCCCGGCAGAAAACTTCCGCGGACCATGGATTTACATCATCTGTTTATCCTTTCGTCATCAAATCCAACCGTAATTCCAATTCAAAAGAGGCTCATCTTTTTGGATGAAAATTAGATTCAAGAGCTTCAGTGGAATCATTTCAGGAGTTGGATTAATCACTTCAATGTTCATCTGATCGTGATTTCGACTGACATCATCTTCAAATTATCATGCGACCAATTTTAGCAGTGGACTTGCTAAAAAAAAAAAGAAACTCAAGGAAAAGGCAGGAAGTTACTGTTTCGGAGCAATTCTCACCGAAAACTGTGAGCATCATCAGGCGGGTAAAAAATCTCATTTTGCTTCGGCTTTTCGCCAAAGTCGAGCGAGCGTCTCCAGTGGTGTGTCCAATACTGTTCTCCATAAGGAAATGTGTTCGGGTCTGGTCTGTCCCGACACACATACACGCAGTAGATCAACGTCCCCACCAGTGTGCAAAAGCCGAAGATCAGCATACAAATTCCAAAATACCTGCAAGAAATCAGAAAATTGGTCATCGGTTACCCGTTCTCATTATGGATGACCTTATACAAAACGATGCGAAACGAGCTCGTGGAATTTTTTTCTGTCATACGTTGCACAAATCGAAAAAAATGCTACTTTCTTGAAACCCCTGGACGAAATTCGAAAGCGCCATGGCTTCAGTGGTTTAAAGCGCTGTATAACGGAGGACACATAATGGAAATGGTGCAACATCATTGTCGAAATGTACACGCTTTGTAAACTGGCCGCGGAGCCATTACCTAACCTTTTTCCAACAGCTTTACATGTCCATTGATAAAATTGCAGATTTGAATGATAAAGTGCAACGATGACAATCGAAAAAATGCGTCGAACTTCGTTGAAACTATACTCAACTATGAATTTTCTACGAAAAATGAGGGCATTCGTAACCGTCATATCACTTTTCCAATTCATCATTCAGGCACGTGTTGAATACGACTGGATCTCCATTTTTAAAAAGACACAGCGTCACCTTAAGAAAAGGAAGTTTGACGGCTTACCAAAGAGGCGGAGGATCGCGGATCTGCAAGACCACGATGAATCCCAGAACAACGATGATTAATGCCAGATTGAAGAGCACCATCAAACAACATGTGCCCTTCGTATTAGGACAGTACGGATGTGGAGCAGCCACAGTATCAACTTGAATTCTTCCGTACCGGCTAGTCTTAGTCTTCGTTGTAGCCGATTCTGAGGGTGCCACACCACTCCTTGGAGGACCTCCACTCTTGTAGGTGTGGTAGCTATTACAAAGAAAGTTGTAGTTATGAGGCGTAAAAAAAGTCTGGGCAAAATTCATCGCAATAGCGGCTGCGCAACACGCCACTGATAAACGTGCTACAGCTTGAACAAGTTCAATTACAACGGGGACATACACCAAATCGATTTCATAGCAATACACGAAAACGAACGTCGGATACCCTGGCAACACCAAAGCCCACATTTCACCGCTTTTTCCATGAGGCATTCAAAAATATAGTTCCTCGTCTAAATCCAGTGATACAACAACCGTTTCACCCTCATTTTTATCTATGAAGAAAGCAAAGCCCTGTATGCAAGGAATACGTACGTTATGAACTATATGAAGTTCACGCAGCACTTCCCACCAGAATGCTAGCCGATGTGAAGAATTCAACCCATCAGGAGTGTTACGAAGATCCATTAAAGTACAATGAACTATTGCCTCTGTTGAACACCCAAGAACAAGGTGCCAGACGGAAGCCTCATTGAATATAACACTGGTGCCTGACGGGGAATGACTCCCACCCATTCCGGGATTGTTTAAAGAGGTTTTGAGCTGCGATTCTCACAAACGTTTTACATCAAAACTTCAGTTTCTTGTATCAACTCCTTCATACCTCAGTTCAGACGGAGACTTGTAAATGCTGGCCACTTGAAGGTTTGATTTGTAGTGGGATTCAGGAAGCGGTGTCCTGGTGTGTCCACCGTGATTCCGTGGAGCCTTTGTCTCAATTTCCATGGAGTACTCAGACAGGTCCCTGTCGGAAGGGGCTCTGTCATCATTGGACGTATAGTCAGGAGATGGACCCCTGTTCACCTGAAATATAAAAGACAGGCTGCTGAAAACTGAATGTGGGATTCATCGTATTTCGAGGCTCAAGGTATAGGATGTCTTCATGTTGCGAACCATGCTCAGGGCTTTGCACTATTCACTGGCTTCCTATAACTGACGAAGAGGGCCAAGCACCCATCTTTACAAAGCTTACTTCTTCCTAATTCAAAGAAACGCACAACTTCGAACGATCAGACCTGAACTTGCTAATAGCAATGAAAAAAAATGAGGACATAAATAGCAATTAGATCGATTGCAGAACATCCTGGGCAAGAGCAGATAGAGAAAAATCACCGATGTGAGAATTTCATACCAGAAAAAGTGAAGTTGCTCAGCCACCATGCGAATACAGACTTAAGTAAACCAAATTCTGAAACCCTGAAGCTCCTATCAGTCGACTACATATACCTTTAAAAAGAATCTGAAAGCTCCCGGGTTACCTCGATCTCGCCTTCACATTGATTCTTCAAGTTGGCGGTAAATTCTGTTAGTTAAAGGGGAAAATGTAAGGTTACTAGAGAGTTAATTTCAGAAGTTTAGCACTTCTCTAACAATTCCTAACCAACGTTGAAACGGATAAAAGTAAGAGAATTTATTCATGCATCAGTAAATCGTTTTAAGTTAGGAATTCTTTGAATTTTGCTTTGGAAATTTTTAGTAAGAGAAATATGTACAAGATGAGTTCCTCGTGCAGAAAAAATGTGGCAATATGTGCCAGAATGAAAAAGTACTCATTCAGCGCACGTAATTCGATTTCACGGTAGGTATATGACATTTGATAAGAACAGCAGTTCTACCTTATAGACTCAGATACAAAACTTTCAACTTTTCGAAGAAGAGAACATATATCCCTTCCTTTCGTCAGGTGATACTAGTGCTCCTGCGCAAGCAGAAAACTCGTGTTTGCGCATGTGTGTATGTCTGTATACGACGTGATCTGCTCAACTAACATCCTATCTCTGGTTATCAGAAACGACTCTGGTCCTGGGTGGCCTCACAGACATGGGCACCTCATCATCTTCTTCGTGGTAGTTGGGGCTCATTCGTCTGGGATACCGATGAGCGTATCGGTAGTTCGGGCCGTCTTCCGGATCGTCCGACAAGGTAGTGTCATCCCCGGGGTAATGATGATGATGCGCGCGAGACATCACTGCATCTCTGAAAGAAAAATAACTCGTCCGCTGGCAGCATGCGAATGATTCCGTAAATTCAACCGAAAAATATTCCAGGATGTGAGAAATCCGCACCTCCACGACGATTCAACCACTTTTCACCCTCGCAGTATGACAATAATAAGATATGCATCACGCAATAAATGTTACTCATAATAGAGGTCAAAACATATTTTCCTTACATTTTTGGATAGTTCAGATCACTGCTGTCCACGAACAATATATTTCAGGTACGGATGATCTTAATCCAGAATTTCCCACACCATGCACTTTTGAATCGAGAATCAACTCAAGTTCCAAATCCGGATTCACCCGTCACTTCGGCAGCGGGATGTTCCTTTATTTACGGTCCGATAAGGCTTTTCAGGGAAAATTTACCGTGGTTAAACCTTCGGTGCATTCAGATGCATCTGAATTTATGAAGACTAATCTGATCTTCCAGGAAAGGTTTGACACATCTCTTATCCGACGCTTGCGTAAAACCATTCACAAATGAAGAAAGAGTATATTTTTCAAAAAGTAGAAAAAAACTTGTCGGCGCTTGTTGAAGAGAAAGCACATTCCCAGTTTAAACACGGCTTGCACACGTTTTGTAAAACTGAATATGAACCGTTTACACGTTTTGTAAAAGGTTCATATGCTTGAACCGTTCGTTAATCATATGACCAACGATTTATATCCACCAAGCATAATAATGGAATCAATTGAAGTTAGAGCACCTGTCACCATAACCGTAGAAATCTTAGTCTGCGCTGCCAGATGCGTACTTCCTCATGCAACAGCTCGATGTATCTCTCAACCCCACGCTTTTCCCTCACACGGTTACACCCACTGACCATTCAAGGACATGCGGCTCTCTCCATACCAAATTAGGGAATCCACTTCCAGGAAATATTCATAGAACTCACCTGTTGTTAGTTAGTCGTTGATCCAGAGAGATGTCGTTCCTTTAGAGGGTTCCATCTTTTATCTGCTACCCAGGTCATTCTACCACTATATACGCCGATTTTACGTTTCATTTTCGCATGCGCCCACTCTTTATCAAAACCATTCTATACTTGTTCCTTGCATCATGCATACCAGTTTTTTGTCAGAAATATTTTGCGAAAACTGAACATTTGCACCCAATAAGTGATGCAGACAGCCGAAGGAATAATAAAATATATCCCAGCAGAAAATAATTTTTCCATTTTTAGTGAATGAAAAACTGTTACCTGTAACCATTATAGAATTGTAATGGTCCTTATATAGTCAGACTATCATGAACCTAATTCATATGAGCCAGTTACAGTACTACTTACAGAATAAGCAGACAAGTTATTTTCATGGCTAAAAATGGCATGAAAATGATGAGTGTAAAGATCGGCTTCTGTTATTGAAAAAGTTATTTTCTTTAACCCATTCTTAACACACTATATAAAAATGTAAAAAAAGAGCGCAAATGGTTGATGTTATGGCAAGCCAGCAATGTCTGCCATTTTGTGCCACATTTTTAAAATTATCCATGATGGTCAGGGCTGGATTAAACCAACGTTCTCGCCTGATGCTGGGCAAAAACTGGGCCTAATATTTCTTCGTAAAAAGTGAATGTGAATTTTTCATCACACAATTAAGAAATATATTTTGTAGAGAACAAAGAATATCTGAGGCTAGAATTTAACGAAACATAGATAAGGTCAAATTCCATCACAATGAATCTCATAACAATACATTTTTCTTATAAACAATTTTGCATGGTCCTGGCAGTTTCTCCATAGGCACATGTTATAGAAATCTCATTTTTATTAACTTATTTTAGACTATCATATCATTATGATGAAACTCTTGCCTTGATTTTGTGCATATGCTATATATCAATTATTTCATTAATGATAGAAGAAATGAAAAAAATTATAAGGTCCAATTTCTTGAAGGACTAAAGATTTTTGTTGAGAAGGCTAGGTGTTCAAAAACACACAACATGGCATATACATCTTGGAAATTCTTTGACTACATTTTAAATTGTATGCCTTTCTTTCAAGTAAACAGTATACAGTTATAGAAGATATGTTCCTCTATTTGAATGAACAGACAGGTATGAGCAGATAAGTTGAACTCAGAAGGAAGTACAGAATTTATACTAGTACAAAGGCAGGTTTAATGAAATGAAATACCTATTTCTTTCAGAACTTTTTTCTGCATTTTGTCCAAATGCTTACAAATCACAACAGGTCTTGATGTAGCTGTTTCAGATGTACATCAGTACTCTAAAACTATATGGCCCCTTTTTCAATGAAATTCAGTCTGAAATACTGTAAGTCAAAACCAATAATCAAAAAACTCTAAAATTATTTTAAGAACAAATGTATGAAAATTTTGGTGGACAGACTTCTTGCCGGGGCTCACATGTGAGCTGCCAAATTTATGCTGCTCCCCTTCCCCCTACCTCACTCCCTGGACCATCACTCTCTCCTTGAAGAAAAATCATGAGAGACTTCAGAAGGCCTGTTTGAATAGGTATAAACAGTCTATTACCAGAACACATCCAGAGGGGAACATTCTACTCATTTTAGTATAGAGGACACTAGCATGCTGAATTAACATGAAGTCATTTTGAACACTTGTATATGAATGGATGAATCCAACAAGGTACTGTACAGAGCACTCAGAGTAGTAAGGTATACTGTACACTGCACTCAGAGAATCCCTAACTTCTGGCATTTAAGCCATTCTACATTAACAATGATTCCCTAATTGTAAATTTCCTATTTTTTAAATGCCCAGATTTATCCCATTTCATTACTACCAAGTCAACTAAGGAAACATAACACAAATTGTATATTGAAATTTGTTTGATTACGTATGATATATGACCTGTTATCTCTTCAGATTTTTATTAGAAGTCGTACGTAAGGTAACTTTCAAATAATAGAGCAATGAGTGCAGTGTGAGTCCTACTCCGTTTCTTCCCAAAACAGCCAGGCTCCACTTTCTGAAGTTGCTCAAGCATGTGCACAAGAGAGTGACTGCAGCTGCAAGGGGAGTGAGGCAGGGGGAAGGGGGAGCAGCATAAATTTGGCAGCTCATGTGTGAGCTCTGGCAAGAAGTCCACTCACGGAAAATTTCAGGCATTGGTCAATACAAATGGACTAAAATGCATGCCAAATGTAAGGCCAACATGGTTACTTTTAATTGAGAAACATTTGTTTTAGTTTTGGGTCAAAGAAATCTTCAATCAAGTGGCCAATCATTGGACATTCATTAGCCATTCATTGGCCATTCATTGGCCATTCATTGGCCATTCATTGGCCATTCATTGGCCATTCATTGGCCATTTGATTGGTCATTCATTGGCCATTCATCAGCCATTTGATTGGCCATTTGATCAAAGATTTCTTCAACTCAAGACTAAAACAAATGTTTCTCAATTACAATTAACCACAGTGGCCTGAAATTTGGCATGCATTTTGATTTTTTTATTAATGCCTGGAATTTCCAAATGTTTGCTGTGAATTATTGAGCTTGTGAACTGTCATGGTGCTCTCCATGTTATAGCCAATGGGGCAGAAAAAATGCACTTTCCCATGGAATCTTCAATCAAATGGCCAATCAAATGGCTGATGAATTGCTAATGAATGGCCAATCAATGGTCAACCAATCAGCCAATTGGTTGGCCATTGATTGGCCACTTGATTAAAGTTTTTTTGACCCAAGACTAAAACAAATGTTTATCAAATACAAGTGAGCACATTGGTCTGAAATTTGGCATGCATTTTGGTCCATTTTTTTAAATCAATGCCTGGAATTTTCATGCATTTGGTGTGAATATTGAGCTTGTGAACTGTCATGGCCCTCTCTATGTTATGGCCTATGGGGCTGGAAAAATTCACTTTACTATTTGCCCTGATTTTACAATGCTTTGTTGTGCCCTATGTTATAGCCTACAGGGCTGAAACATGCACTTTAAAATGTGTCCTGCTTTTACAATGCTTTATTATCCTACAAGGACAAGCAAAAAGTTGGAATATCCTTTTTAAATAAATTCAATACATCAATTGGGAAATGTTGACATGCCTTCCACATTCATGATGTCTTTGCAATATTCAGTTGATACAAATTTATTGAAAAAGCCAGTCAGTTGGATCCAGTGCTGACAATAATAAGCATATGGTAACTTATTTTCAAATAAAGTTGAATCCAGAACTACAAGTATATGTATACTGTATATAGATATATTGCTCAAGCAATGGATCTTGCTCATCTTGCTCAAGCAATGGATGGGTTTGAAATTGTCAATTAAAGTTTATTCATGTTTATAGAAGTATGTATAGTGTACTTGAACAAAATGTATATGTATCAGGGCAAATAGTGAGTCACAGCATTGTTCCTTGATGAGAATTTGAAAAAGACTTCACTGTTTTCAAAAAGTTTCATAATGCTGTTATCTTAGAAATACAGTAACTTACAGAAAACCCTTTTTGGTAGTTTTTGAAGAAACCATTTAGAAAGCCTAGAAACGGAAATCATGGAAGCATAGATAATTGCTTCCTTTTCCTTTATGAGAAGTCTTGACAACTTCTCATGATTAGTCACAATAGCCTTCCATACGGTAATTATGGTACAATCAATCCTGGAACCCTGGTGAGCTCAACTCTTTGTGAAATCCAGTGATATTCGGATCTCTTGTTCATGTGGCGCATGGTCATTACTACTGAAGTATAACCAGCGCACTCATATTTCACTCAGAGTGATTTCCACATTATTTCCTTTCACGGATTGGGATTTCCGCTATTAAGGTCGCGTCGATTATTTCCTTTGTTCCCCCATCTAGGCTGGCTAGGCTTAAATACCCCTGCTTGGTGAAATCACAACAGAGATCTCATCCAAGCTTCATACAGTAAACTCCATAGCCAAAGCCTTGCTAAAGCTCAAACCTATTTCAAAGTAAAGTACAAGCTGGACTTGTGTGTTTGTGTATTTGTATTGTTGTATTGAATGTTTGTATGTGGATGAGAATATTGTATAAAGATATTTGATCCAGAATAAGAACTTGGTTCTTTTATTATCAACTCAGTCCTGTAATAGAAAGGACAACAATGCATGTGCAGGAAAGATATCTATATGTGCAGGCACCAACCTGATTAAGAGCATGAAGTGCAAGGTATCTCAGCTGGCATGGCGCTGGACACCAATGCAAGAGTACAGAGGTTCAAATCCCCCCTGTGGCAACATCTCACAGTGCATGAAAACACAGCCTCACACAAACACACACACACACATGCACACATACACACATACATACACACACACACACACACACACACACACATATATATATATATACACAGTACACCCTCTCTCAAAAACACACTTCCTGACACACATCACACAGCACAGCTTCTCTCACAAAAACTCTCAAAACAGCCACTCCTTCATGCCAGCAGCTCATGACTACTCCTGTAATCATTAGCTGTTACCACAATAATGTTAACTTCTGAGTACTTGGAAGGGGCAGCAGATGGAAGCCTCTGGCTTACATTCGCTGCTTATGCCACCCATTGCCCCCAGCCACTGAGTGGCAGGGGCAGCCAATTCATGCCTCTGTCTTACACTGGCTGCTTCTGCCCATGTTTTTTCAACTGAGAAATTGGTGGGGGCAGCTGGTAATTGAACTAGGAATTAAATGGAGGATACAAAGGCTCTCCAGATGCGTCCATCAAGAGCCTTTCAAAGTAAGATGTGTGAATAGATTCCAGTATTAGGTGTTTGGTTGTGTATACACAACCAATCATATAATACTAGAATTGGCAGTGTATGCCAATGTTGACTGAAGCAGTTGCATCTGGAGGTTTTTTGTTTTTCTGGTTAGTTGGCAGCTAACAACTGGACCCAATGATATGCTTAGCTAGCAGTCTATGGGCATTGCTCCTAATCTGACAGGCAGGCAGGAAGTGGGGGAGGGGGAACACATGTGCACCCCAGCAGTGTGCCAGCTATTCCAGACTGGCACATTGCTCCCTCGGAGAGCTGGATTTCAACACAAAGAGAGTTGTGGATAGCTTCTAATGCTAGCGTGCTGCCTGCATGCTAGCACCTAGAGATATAGCTCCCAATTTACTTTTGCTGGAAACCTCTTCAGCTCCTAACCTCTTCAGCTCCAAACCTCTTCAGCTCCAAACCTCTTCAGCTCCAAACCTCTTCAGCTCCAAACCTCTTCAGCTAGAGTGTTGTAACAATGTTTTGTTTCAGGATGTTTCCAGCATCATCTGTCCAGCATTTTCTGTACAGGAAGTGCTTTTAGCACTAGCAAAAGTTATCCAAATCGATTCTTCAGGTATAGTATAATGGGGGAAATTCAGAAAACATCAATGCATCTTTTCAAAAGTATGTTGCAAGACAACCGTTTCTTGTGTTGATTTCATTTTCTTTTGTGCACATGCACTGAAAGTGTTGGTAACTCTAGCACAAAAGAACCCTTTTTGCTTCTTTAGGCATAATATACTGTAGGAAATGTAGGAAGCATCATAACATGCTTTTAAATGTGTATTGTAGCAACAATGTGTTTCAAGGCATTTCCAGCATTCATTGATACATATAAAGGAAGTGCTGATGATAAAACTAGCGTATAAAAACCCAATTCCTTTTTTAGGTGTGAAGTATTGAAGGGAAAGTAGGAAAAATCACATGCTTTCAAAAATGTGTTGTGACAACTTTGTGCCTTCCCAAGTTTCCAGCAACTTGTTTGCAAATTTACTCAAAACCGTTTTAGTACCAAGTTTTTTAATTTCCAAGCCTGTTCAACTCCAAGCCTCTTCAGCTTGAAACCTATTCAGCTCCAAACCTCTTCATCTCCAAACCTCTTCAGCTCCAAACCTCTTTAGCTCCAAACCTCTTCAGCTCCAAACCTCTTCAGCTCCAAACCTCTAAATCTCAAAACCTCTAAATCTCAAAACCTCTAAATCTCAAAACCTCTTCAGCTCCAAACCTCTTCAGCTAAAAACCTCTTCAGCTCAAAACCTCTAAAGCTCTAAACATCTTCAGCACCAAACCTCTTCAGCTCCAAACCTCTTTAGCTCCAAATCTCTTGAGCTCCAAACCTTTTCAGGTCCAATCCCTATCAGCATTGTGTTTCAAGGCATTCTCAGCATTTTCTTACGCATGTAGTGTAAGTGTTGGTAACACCAGGAACAGTGTACCCAATTGCTTCTTTAGGTGCAGTGTAATAAAGGTAATTTTGGAAAAATCATCACATCCCTACAAAAAGTCTTGAAACAACAGATTGCTTCAAATTGCTTCCATCATCTTCACAGGAAGTGATTGTAACACTAGCAAAAGTAACTAGAATGGTTTTTTTACATGTAGTGTAACGAAGGGAATGTAGTAAACATTACAATCTTTCAAAAGTGTGTTGTAACAATGTTGTGTTTCAGGTTGTTTCCAGCATCATCTGTCCAGCATTTTCTATATGGGAAGTGCTTCCAGCACTAGCAAAAGTTATCAAAATGACTTTTCAGGTATAGTGTAAGGGAGGAAATGCAGAAAATATCATTGCATGTTTTCAATAGTGCGTTGCAAGAACACCGTTTCATGTGTTGTTTCTATTTTCTTTTGTGCACATGTACTAAAAGTGTTGGTAACTCTAGCACAAGGGATTCCTTTTCCTTCTTTGGGCATAATGTATTGTAGGAAATGTGGGAAGCATCAGAACATGTTTTCAAATGTGTATTGTAGCAACATTGTATTTCAAGGCATTTCCAGCATTTTTTCAGACATATACTGAGAGTGATGAAAAAACTAGCGCAGATCACCCAAGTTCATTTTTGGGTGTGAAGTATTGAAGGGAAAGTAGTAAACATCACATGCTTTCAAAAGTGTGTTGTGACGACTTTGTGTCTTCTGGAGTTTCCAGCAACTTGTTTGGAGATGTACTGAAACCGCTTCAGCGCCAAGCTTTTTCATTTTCGAGCCTCTTCAGCTCCAAGCCTCTTCAGCTTCAAATCGCTCCAGTTC